GGAATGAAACACGAGTCAAACCAAATGAAACTACACGACGTCTACGACGAAGTAGATGCGTCTACCGTCAACGACAACGTCATCAGAGAAGCGATACCTACAAGATGGGTACACAGAAAGAAAGGACCAGGAGTACGAAGCCGAATCGTCGCAAAAGGCTACACCGAGAAGATCGAGGACGAAGACTCCGTCTACGCCTCTACACCAATGTTCACGACACTCCGGACACTTCTCGCACTACAAATGTCACGACCAAACTGGATAGCGCGACTAGGTGACGTCTCTACAGCATTTCTACACGCACCCATCGCAAAAGACCACGACGGTAAACAACGTGACGTCTACCTTTGGCCACCTAAAGAACTTTGTCCACAACAGGACAAAATCTGGCGACTAAAGAAAGCCATGTATGGACTACGCAGTTCACCAAAAGCATGGCAGGACTACCTGGCTGAAGTTCTACAAAAGCTCAGCTTTGTAAGACTAAAGTCAGAACCCAACGTCTACACCAATGCGACTCGCGACTGCTACATCATGGTCTACGTGGACGATCTACTAGTACTTGGAGACAAGACCGCAGTCGACTCCACTTTCGAGGCCGTCCAGAAGCAGGTACTACTCAAGCACATCGGCTACCTCGAACCTGGCAAACCACAACAATTTCTTGGAAGAAACATCGACCACTTCGGCAACTACTGCAATCTTGGACTAAAGGACTCCTACATCGACAACATGATCGAGGAGTCTGGAATGAACAACTGCAACTCAGTAAACACTCCAGGAATTGCACACTACAAACCAACAATAGAAGATGAAGCACTACTTGACCACGAACAACACAAAAGGTACAGAAGAATTGTTGGCAAACTTCAATGGTTAGCATACACACGACCAGACATTGCATACTCCACAAAAGAACTAGCACGAGACCTCACAGCACCTACAGAACTTTCACAAAAGAGAGTCAAACATCTACTACGCTACTTGCACGGCACCAAGCACTACAAATTCACCATAGAACCAACAACAACACTCAGAGCAAACACCAACAACATCCTGGATCTCGACGTTCATGTCGATGCCGACTGGGCAGGATGCCCTACTACCAGGAAATCAACTTCAGGTTTCAACATCATCTTTTTAGGAACAACAGTTGCATTTGGCAGCAGAACACAAGCTACAATAGCACTCAGCTCAGCAGAGTCTGAACTCTACGCCATTTGCACAGGAGTTAATGAGGGACTACACCTCAGAAACTTCCTACTTGAAACCAACATTTGCAGCAAGCTAAACCTACGCATCCACACAGACTCCACAGCAGGCAAGAGCATTGCTACACGACAAGGCACTAGCAAACGAGCAAAACACATCGACCTCAAATTCCTCTACACACAAGACCTCATCAAGCACGACATCATCAGAATCCTTAAGATCAACACACTCCACAACAGCGCAGATTTGTTTACCAAATACATCAGCAAAGAAACACTACACAGGCTCATCCAGAGCATTGGAATACGCATCTAGCACTACGAACGACCAGCGCAGCAGTTTCACAACAACAACAACGACTTTGGACATTTCATGTATGTAAGTAGCTACATGTAACACGACACTTTTGGTATGTAAGTAACAGTAACTACATGTACTTTCACTTGCACTTTTGGCGGCTTGAGTCAACACTACAGTTGTTTGTTTTACATGTCTGCATTGCCGACTGCCTGGTAGCAACTACTTAGGCTCATTTGTTTTGGCCCGTTTCACTACATTTTGCATTCCACTGCAGCCATGGCCGCTCCATCTACTGCAGATGCTACGATGGGAGACGCCGCTACGCCCGACAGGGCGACTACACCTGAGGTGGCGGTCACTACAGACTCCAGTGACCATGGAACTCCACCACCTCAAACCTACAACGACTTCAACTACCACTTCAACCATTCTACACCCGGCAACACCGTCTACTACAACCCGACCACAGTGATGGACCAACTACACATCACTGAGCACCAGACAACCACTGCACCACCACTACCCAACAACATTCCCTACACGCAATTTTTCACTGCATTTACACTTGAAGAGTATCAACTACTCTCACAACAACAAGCTACTCCACTGGCACAACTGGACTACACACGACCCATTCACTGCATCCCTGGAGATCTTCGGATGCCACACTACAATTCCACACTGCTCAGCATTTCACTACCTGCAGCAGCCAACGTCCACTACTACCACACGACTTCACTCCACACAACAACCGGCGACAACAACAACTACGTCATCATCCAACTCCAGATTGAACAACCACTACTCCTGAGGTATCTCACTTCAGGACAATTTCTACACCTCACAAGGGACTACATCTCCTACATGATGTCGGTACAACACAACTACTACCTCCCGACTACAACACTGCCACAAACCATCTTCAAGGTGAACTACAACATGGCCACCTTCACTGACAACTACAGCCTCAGGAACAACTACGTTTGGAATTTCCACATGCCACTACTACTACCTGAGCTACTCCACTACCTCTACAACAGAGACCAACTCCACGACTACCAACACAAAGCAATCACTACAATCCTCTGCAAAAGCATCCAATACTACGGATTCACACTACTCACAATGACCAACCTCACACAACACCACAAGGCACTACTACACCGCTTTCTACGGGACTACCAACAACACATGTCGTGTCCCGAGATCGACGATGAGCGACTACGGGGAGCTCCAAACTACATGACAAACTTTTTCACCACCAACTACTACGCGACCTTGGACAGTCGACTTCAGAAGGTCCAAGACTACCGCACCCAGAACTGGGTACTACATTTTTGAGCTCAGCTGGAACCTGAACAGCGTGAACTACTGAGCGCAGGTCACTACTTTTGCCAATACAGTAGAATTGATGAACAACAATGGTTTTCATCACTACTGCCAATCCATGTTTTGCACTTCAGTTGAAAAGGTACTACAAAGACCTTTTAACTGAGGGGCCGTGTCAAACTACATGCTTCACTTTGCACTCTTGTTGCATGTATGTTCACTACCGCAGGCCTTGAGCTTACTCCTTGAGCTTACTACTCCGCATGAGTCAAAAGGTTGGCAGCTGCAGGCTACATTGGTTGACTGTTTGTTTGAACACTACAGCACTTGCACTTGTAAGCAAAGTAACAACCGATTTTAACGTTAAAGAGAGAGAGAGAGAGAGAGAGAGAGAGAGAGAGAGAGAGAGAGAGAGAGAGAGAGAGAGCGAGAGAGAGAGAGAAGCAGGGGATTCGGATATGGGCAAGCTGTGAATGGGACTGTTGGGAAAGATGCAAAAGGACTAGCCAACGAAGGAGATTTATTGAGGCCAGTGTTTCAGCCTGCTCTGTTTGTGCCTTTTCCTGCGCATGGGTCACTGTACCCCAAGCGCTGAACCTATATTTTTCCGAATCCACACATGTGGGAGGTCTGTTTGTGGCTTTGTTCCTTCTTAAAGCTGCATACATCATTCCACAGCCTAACATTGAGATCGTTTCGGCGCTCAACGGCTGGCCCGCGCATGCATTCTCGCCATGAAAAGAGTAGTGCAGCAGGTGGACTACAAACGGCGCCCGAGTTTCTCTTCTGAGTTCAGTTCTTGTTGAACATTGAGCCTGCTGACAGCTGCCAGTGCTCCATGTGGCATATGCGAGCTTGACCAAGGCACCCACCGCGTAGACGCTTTGAGGCGTAGGCGCTTTGCCGGTGCGCGCGGTATTCGAAGACGGCGTAGGCATACGTTTCCCATTGCAAGTAGGCCCCCTTTGCCTGGATGCCTCACATTTTCGAGCCCAGCTCAGTGGAAGATCGATCCAGCGCAAGGCCAAGGCGGTGTTGGAGAAGTGGCGGGAGCAAGCCGAGAAGCAGCAGCAGCAGGTGCGGGTTGAGCCCCCTCATAGCATTAATAATATTTCAGTATTGCTTTTTTAGAAGTAACAATGTTATTGGTTGATATAAGGTTTTGCCTGGCCTGACCTTCAAAGTGGATGCCAGAAGTGGCAGGCATCAAATAGCTGACCTGGATGTGTGAAGCAGACATGGTGGACAAGAATCGAACTCTAGTGGCTGGCCAGATGGGGCCACCCGATTGCCTAGAGATTGGGCTGCTTCGCGTGGGATGACAAACAGCTTCGCACGGAGTCCACACGCATGGCTGACTTGAACCTGCACTGGTTCACAGTATGCCGGGTTTCCTGTGTTTCTGAGCAGATTCATGTGTTCAGATGTTTTTAGGCTCGTTTCTCCGGACGGGGGCTATCCTGTTAGCAATGCAAGCCTTGAGATTCGTGAGGCGCCTCGTGCAACCCAAATACAGTCGGGAGCGTATGCAAGATACCAGCGGTCGCAAATAGGGGTAGCTGGAAAGCGACAGGGAACAGGATGAAAAGACTTACACATGAGAAGGCTTGAAGGGGGTTGTGCGGCAGACTGGCATGTTTATCTTGAACAAACCGGGACGCAAGGAGCTGAAGCGCAGCAACTCAATGAAGGAGAATGCCAAGGCGGGCTGGGGTTCTGATCTCTGGTTCTTGGTCAGCAGTTTGGCCGGTCAACAGTAGGTATCCGAAATGGACCTGGTACATGGAAATGTGGACTAAAAACCTGCAGTGCGTATCCTGGTGGGTCAATGTTCACCCAGACCCATTTGACCAGGTCTCACTGATGCCGCTGAATCGGCTCTTGAGGCGGAGGAAGCACCCGGCTGGACGAAGCACTGGTCCAGCTCCCAGGAGCGGTACTACTACCACAACGTCAAGACAGGCGGCAAATCGGAGTCTGGCTCAAGCTTGCTGCAAAACCCGATTCGGGTAGATGAAGGTTCAGGAATAGCCGCCTTTCCATTTCTTTGCATGTTTCTGGGTGGACCATAGGAGTTTTTGGCAGGCCGAGCGATGAGCTTCGGCTTTCCCGCAGCCACGGCTCCAGCGCCGCAGCTTCGTCGCGTTTTCGCTCTCGCCATGCTGCGGCCGCCGGAGCTCGTCCAGGCGGTGCAGCTGCCGGAGGACGAGCCGGTGGCTCTGGCCGACGAGGCGTTTCACTGGGGCAGCGAGTTCCTGGGGGTTGGGGGGGCGCTCTCCGCGGAGTTCCGGCTGCTGCTGCACCGCCTGGTGGAGCAGCACGTGCAGGAGCTGCAGTCCGAACGGGCCGACCGCGCCGAGCGGGCGAGCGAGAGGAGGGCCGCCGAACGGGCCGAGAGGGAGACGGCCGAGAGGGCCGAGAGGGAGGGGCACTGTGAGAAGAGCGCCCAGTTGGGGAGCGACGAGAAGAAAGCCTTTGCCATGGCCAGCCGCAGCGGCTCCAGGAACTCCAAGACCTCGGCCTTCGCTGGAGCTCTTACGAAGCAGCACGAGGCTTTGCCGGCGGTGCACGCCAGCCAGATCTTGGACGTGTGGGAGAGCAAGGACACCGGGATGATCGACGAGTGGGACGCTGCGTTGAAGAACCGGAGCTGGGCGGAGTTCGTGCAGTCCACCAGTTATGAGTTCATCATGGCAGGGATATTGTCTTTGAACGTGCTGTGGATGGCCTTTGAACTCCAGCTCTACGGCAGCTGGTCGGGCGACGCGCTGGTGGCAAAGCCCCCAGAGGTGGACTCGGAGTTCTGGGCCGCCTGTTTCATGACCGGCGACCTCATCTTCACCATTTTGTTTGGCATAGATTCGCGGCGGCACGGATTCACGGATATTCCTCTTCTCAACTCCAGTTAGCCCCGAGAAAAAGTCGACCAAGCCGGGCACTGTCGATAGCCAGCCCAGCCCGGGGTGCTTTTTTTCGTTTTTCGCCCATGGCAAAAACCGAGCGCTCCGAGGATGTCACCGTGCGGATCTGTGTGCTGAAGACTGCGTTCTTTCGCTCCCCTTTGAACTACATCGACATCACAGTGACCTTCACCTCAGTGCTGGAGGTGGGCCATGTCTGGCAAATCCTTTCCAACCTAAAGAAACTGGTCAAGAAAACGAGCCCCAAAAATCCAATTCGCTTCCCTCTAATTGGTGGTTTGGAGCCCAGTGGTTTGGCCCACCAATCCCTAAATGTAGCCTGAACAAAGGGAGTACCAACTCCAAAAACAACCCTTGTGAGTTTTATCCTTTGATTTTCCCTTAAGGTTTGTGAAAGCCCCAAAATCCGAGACGCAGCCAGGTGATGAAAACAACATAAACCCAACCCCTTCCTTGCGTTTCTCTTTCGCTTGGGCTGAACTCGAAAAAACACGAGTCGCACATCCCCCAAAAAACTCGCCAGGTGGTGGTCTACTACACGGTGCGGCTGCCGCTGAACTCGGCGTTCTTTCGGCTGCTACGCATCGGGAAGTTGGCGCGGGCCATCCGCATGCTCACCATGACCTCCGCCTTGGCGTCCCTTCAGCTGCTGGTGAAGTGCCTCGCAGCCTCGCGGGACAGGGGTGAAGCGGTTCAAGACCTTGCAGCGTTTGCAACATGCTTGTCACGGTGTTGGGATCGTTTCAAGAGCCCTTGCTGCAACTTCGCCTTGAACGGCATTTTTTTCAAATTCTCCCCATGGCCATGAAACTCTTCCAGGGCCTGACTCCAGCTTAGTTCCTTTTTTTTGGGGGGGCCGCCCTGGGGCCTGATGGTGTTTTGACCCCCGAGATCTTAAGAGCAGGACATGCTCTTCTGGAGCTTCCTGCTGCTGGCGCTGGTCCAGGGCGTGGCCTGCCTGGTGGTCAGCACCTTGTGCCGGGACTACGTGGACAACCCCGCCCTGGACGTGAAGCTCAGGGAAGAGGTCGGGGAGTTTGGAGTTCAGGTTGAGACTTGACCACGGAAATCCTGGAATGATTCGTCTGTTACCAATAAACAATGGTTTCTCATGTGGAGCTAGGACGCCCCCTTTCTTTTTGGGGTTTGTCCTCCTGTGGCGTGCGCGTTGAATTTCAGAGCGCGAACAAAGCGCAGCTTTTTTGGTGGCCGCTTGAAGGCATATTTTTGGGTCAAATGAGAAGCACTCAGGTCGTCAAATTTTCAAATGATGCACTTGTCTGGAGCTGAAAGCGTGCACGATGACACGGGGATCCAAAAAGCCTCCGTCTGAGCCCAGGTTTACCAGTACTACGGCACCTTCACGCGCAGCTTCCTGACCATGTTTGAGGTGGACCCGTGCGGATGCGAGTTCGGATCACAGCCAGAGAGAGAGAGAGAGGCTTTCCACAATCCAGCAGCCTTCCGTAACAAAAATAGTAAAGCAGTGGCATTTTGCACAAGATAGAGCTGTTCGAGAATCAGAACAGTTGACAAAAACAGCTTCTGGAGACAAGCAATCATAGCCACAGCTTTACACAGAATAGTTTATCTCACAAGCAGCTCTTAGCGACCACTTTCGCAAGCCGAGAGGTAGCTTCATGCAAATACTACACTACTTCGAGATGAGCAGAGCCCAAAGCCCCTGAAGCGACAACGGACTAGCACTACAAAGCGCCGATTTTCGAGCTGGGGACTGCGCGTGACGATTCGCGTGCTACACTTGTGCAGTTCGGGCGCCACGCTTGTGCAACAAAGTTGCGAGTTGTGAGGAAGTGTACTTCAAGGTTCCGGAGTTGCGATTGCGATTGTGCTACCCTTGTACTGATTCGAGCTGGACTGCAATTGCTTGCAATGTGGGAAAGCGATGGGCCCCCTCCAACAGAGCATATCCTTTTCGTCAGTCACAGGTTTCGACCGATGCTCACATGTAGAAGCCCGCGAAAATTTGAGGAACGACATAGAAAACAACGCCTCAATTGTGAGCTCGGCAGTTGTTGTTGTCACACGGTGCCCTGCCGGGCAAACTGCTGAAAAGCCAGCTTGTCCAAACAATCGACAGTGGATTTCCATTTTTCCGTCCGTCCAAACCTTCGCCAAAACTTATGAGGGTGAAAACCCCTGAGAGGTGCTCTTCGCCAACTGGGGGCCGCCTTGCAGAATCCTGGTGGAGAACGTGAGCGAGTGGTTCTCAGTCTTCTTCCTGCTGTATCGTTGTGTCTTGGGATTTGCCGTGCTAAATGCCGGGAGCTTAGACAGTGAGTCTCAGGGGGGATCCCGTCAGAATGGCATGTTTCCTTTCCCCAGGGGTCCGCCGCAACTTAGTGAAGAAGCCGCTCCCTGTGCCCAGTATATCCCAGTGTTTCCTGGCTTACGCGCCTGTGATCGCGTATGCAATATTTTTTTAAACAGGCAAAAGAAAGCTGATGGGACGCTCAAGCCTCAAGCAAGACATCGGTATTGCCCACAAAGCAACCCTTCGCAAGGCGCGGGAGCGCGCGCGCGCGAGTGAACAGACATGACCCACGCTCCGAATCGCCTACGCCGCAGAATGTCCACATGGTTAAGCGCCCGCGAAGAGGCAAGGAGCTTTCGGTGAGGGATGGGCACAAACCGAACAATCGCAACCTGAGTTACTGCGTTGAAGAGTGTGCAAGCTGCAGGACTGCGCTAGCCAAACATGTGCCATTGTGCGACAACATATGGCAGTGGGTCAAATATAGGTACCCGAAATGGAACCCTGGTAAATAGAAACATGGACTAAAATATGCGGTTGCCTGGTGATTTAATTTTGACCCACACCCGCATGTTCATTAGCACGCACATTGCTCGTCCAGGTTGCTTCCGTTTCGAAAGCACGCGTCTATTCCAGCGCAGACTGCTCAGAAGCCCGTTCTCAGAAATTCGCGGCAACAACAACCCATGTTTTGTTTCTTCTACGATTGAGCCCACGCCCACACACAAAAGGCACACCTGCAAGTCTTTACAGTTCGGGGAGCAGGCGACTTTAGATTCGTCTTGATGATTGCGAGCTCAGTGGCCAAAGGCTTGCGCTGAGTAGCTCAACGTCGATTGGCGATGGCTGCGGCCCGAGAATGCTTTTGCCTGCATGACTGACCTCTCCGGTCGTCTGGTTTTTGGGCAGCTTTTGGGGGTGGGGGTGTCTTCCCCTCCTTGGTGGTTTGGTGGGAAATTGCTTGAGTGCCCTTGTTTGGGGTGGCCAGCTTCGGCTGGCCCCCCTTCCGTGTGCAGAACGCTTGGGGGCTGCCCCGGTTGGTTGGTTGGTGGCCGGCTCCATGCTTCCATGGTTGTTTGGCCTTGAATGGGCGGCGGGGTCGGCTTCGGCTGGCCCCCACATTGTGTGGACATGCCCCCGTAGACCCGCGAATACTCCTATCCCTCCCGGCCCGGCGAGTTCCTTTCGTTTCGCTTCGGGTGGGTGGTTGACGGGCAAGATGCGGACATGTTCGCGGTGCATGGTTGCATGCTCAGAAGGCCATTTGGCGCGCGGCTCATGGCCCTTCTCCATGAGTGCGGTGCCTTGACCTTCGTTTGCGCTTGGCTGCACGCTGCGACTGGCCTCTCCAGTGGTTAATGGTCGCTTTTGGGGGTGGTGATTTTTTCTTCCCCCTTGGTTGGTGGTTGGTGGGCAATCTCGATGTCTTGCTTGAGGCTTGAGTGCCCTTGCTTGGGAGGGTGGGTTGGCTTCGGCTGGCCCACTTCCGTGTGCAGTTCGCTTGGGGGCTACCACACGTTATCAACGTCTACACACCGCTGAGGTCGTGAACGCGGTGTTTGTGCAGCAGACCATGAAGACTGCCAGCTCAGACGAGGAGCTTGCCTTCAAGCAGAAGCAGAAGGACATGGCCACGTACACACGGAAGGTGAAGCGGCTTTTTCAGACCATCGACATTTCTGGTGATGGCGCCATCAATCTGGAAGAGTTCGCCAAGCTGGTGAGCTCTCCGAAGCTGCAATTCTGGATGCTCGGTGTGATTTTAGAGCGCGAGAGTTGTTCAGTTGAAATGAGTTGCGGAGTTTGTTGCCAGCGACAAGTTGAAATCGTCGTGCCCGTGCGTATGTTCACAAATCTAGAGCTTTTCAATAACTTTGATTCATTTTGAACATCAAGTGTGTTTGGATCGGCTAGCTGCCGCAAAGGTGTGTGCGGGGTTAGATCCTTTTTTGGGGTGTGACCCCGTGGAGTCTTTTGGTATTGCGGGGAGATTGATTCTACTCTTTGAGTTGCCCGCGGGATCGGTGTGGTCAAAAACATGAAGGGCATGCTACTTTTCTGTGCGGCCGAGCCAGCGGCCCTGGCCTGGAGCAGATTTGAATCGCCAGCTTCTCCGTGCGAAGGTAGTGCGCGAATTGCTCTGGCGCAGCTCCGGCTTGGGGAAAAAACTACAACCACGGGTGGCCCGAAAGCGCAACCGTCGTGCGTGCGTTGATTTCAAACATTCCCTTCTTTGAGTTCACACGTTTTTGCGAGGTGCTGCAGCGCATTTTTTTCTGCGCCGACGCTTGTCTTTCAAGCCAGAGCGCTTGAACTTTACTGCCTCCGGCTCAGGCCGGCGACTGCTTTCCTATATTATGTGTCCCCTTGGAATTTTCTCATTGGACACTTCTCTTTGGCGTTTCCCCTTTGATATTTTCCTTTTCGCATTTCCCCATTAAGATTCTCCCATTGGAATTCTCCTTCCAACAGTTTTCCTTTAGAATTTTCCCGTTGGACTTATCCCACAGGAGTTCTCCCATTGGAAGTCTCCCTTTGGCAATTTCCCTTTGGAGTTTGAGTATTAGAAGATACCTGTTGGAATTTGCCCAGTTAAAATTCTCCTTTGGAAGTCTCCTATTGGAACTCTCCCCATTTGGAATTTCCCGTCGGAGTTGTCCGATTGAAGTTTTTCCATTGGAATTGTCCCATTGGAACTTTTTTTTTACATTGAACTTGTTTTTGAGATTTTTCCTTCGGACTTTGCAATTCTCCCGCTGGAAAATTGCTCCCTTTGGACTTTTCCCGTTGGGTATTTGATTTGGAATGTTCCTGTTGATTTCCTTGGGAATTCTCTCGTTAGATTAATTTCCTTTGGAATTTATGATTTCTCCCATGGGAATTCTCCATTTGGAAAGCCGTAAAGACTCAATGGGAAATTTATTATGTCCAACACGCCGTCTGTCGTGAGCGGGTTTGAATCGCGGCTACGAGAGGCTCTCTGCGCAAGTCTCTCTTTGCGCAGGATCTTTCTCCGCCCAAGTTTTGTTTGCGACTTTGTTTGCGCGTAGTTGTCGGCGCAAGACTATGTGCTCAAATATCTCTGCGCAAGTTCTCGATGCAGGTTTCTTTGCACAAGCTGTCTGCGCAACTTGCTTTTTGCAAGTTCGCTTGCGGAAGTTCCCAGCGCAAGATTCTCTGGGGGAGCCCTCGGCGCGTGTTCTCCGCGCAAGTGCGCAGCGTGTGTTTCGCTGCGCAGCTATCTCCCTGCAAGTTGCCCTGTCTAAGTTTCTGCGCGCGGCGCCGCGAACAAAGAGACAACACCACTAGTTTTTAAACCTCGGCCGCGCCGATCCACGCCCGCTTCGCGCGAGAGCCGCACTAGTGGGTAGCAAAAGCTTCGAGACCTTGACCACGGGTCAGCGTGCGTGTGCCGCAAAGGTAGCTACGCAACGCGTTGCGCGCGCAAGTCAAAAAGTAAAAAAACTTCACGATTTTGAGCCACCGCGCAATCCACACAAAGGGTCCCGCGCGAACCGCAAAAATGTAGCCAGCGCCCCTATTTCTGGAGCCTCGGCCAGGCCGATCGCAGGGCCGTTCGAAGGCTTTTCTTTGGGCGCAGTGGCTGCTCCGTTGTTCGCAGAGGGTGTTGCGCTCGAAGAGTTCACGCCGCCTTACCAAAACATGCCTCTCGCGCAAGTGTGTGCGCTCGTGCGAGTTTGCTTGCGCAAGTGCTCGTTTGCTCGTGCAAGTGTGCTCGCGTGAGGTTGCTCGCGCAGGCGCACTCGTCTAAGAGTGCGCCTGCGCGATGTTCTCGCGCAGCTAGCTCTTCGCGTGCTCTTCTGCTTCTTGCTCTGCGCGCTGTCTCGTGCATCTTTGCGCTGCTCGCGCTCATGTGCTCTCGCGTCTCTTGCCACGCATGGGCTCGCGCATCTTGCTCTGCGTGTGCCCTCGACGATGTGCGCTCGTGTCGCTTGGTACGCGGGCGGCTCTCGTGCTGCTTGCTCTGCACGTGGGCCCGGCATGCGCTCTCGTGAGTCTTGTTTTGCGGTCCTCTCGTGTATCTCGCGGCGCGAGAAGACTAGCGATTCTACTGGAAGAACCCTTCGCGATGCGTTCGGGAATCAAGTACGAGTGCGGTGTGCGAAATACACTTGCGAAGCTCCGGCTTGAACGTCGCAGATGCTCAGTGCGAATATGCAAAGTACGGGTTCGCAGCGCTGGCGACTTTTCCCGAAAGTATTTCCAGAAGAAGGTTCACCAGCCGAATTTGCGCAGCCACATAGCACACAGCGAGCGCTGAGCAAGATGCGCAAAGAGAACATGCAGAGCAAGTAGCGCGAGGCCTAGACTTCAGCGTAAGGCGGCAGCAACCGCTGAGCCCTGCAGAAGGTTTCGCAATTTGCACCGGTGCTACGTTCGTGCATGCGCGTTGCGAAAGTGTTTCGGGCCACCCGTCTTGTAGTTGTTACTGATGCTCAACGAGTGGCTGCGACACGTCAAGATGCTGTTTGCGTCATTATGATGTCTTCCGCGTCATCATGACTTGCAGCCAGTCTCCCTTTGGTCTACACGGTTTTTGAAGCCAGTATGGGCAATGTGCGCCGTCCAGCAATCAGGATGGGACAGTTGGAACTGGAATACCATGACCTGCTGAGCCTCTTCGAATTTCTCGACAACGGTGACGGAGAGATCACGCCGCTTGGCTGCGTTGCTGAGGCAAACCTCTCGAAACGGAACTTCTGGTTGAGCAATGTGCGCAAGTGCCAAGAGTTTTTCAGCTTTCTACGAGTCCTGAAGATTCCTTGAACAGTCCTTGGAGAGCTTCGATTGAAGGCTCATGGAGTTCATCGACGGCGCAGTGCGGCTGCGGGGCAATGCCAAGGCATTGGACGTCTGGCGCATGGAGACGAAGCTGGAGGTGCTGTTCCAGGAGGCGAATCTAGGGGCTTGGAGGTCTGGAAGGGAGGTTTGGCTTTGCCCGCCATCCGCGGCAAATTCTGGGGGGTTCTGGGGGTTCTGGTTCAGATTTTGCTTGGTCCAAGGCATTCAGTCAGAGATTTGGGGCTGCGTTTCCTTGAGGGTACTTTTTAGATTGGCTCGAAACCAAAAGGCCAACTATGAGACATGTGCAACTCTGAGCCATGAACCGAGTGACTGAGGTGTTGACGGCGCTGGACCCCAAAACGATGCGACAGGCATCCACCAGAGTCCAGGATGTCTTCAATCATTCCTCGCTGCTAAAGCATCTTCATGCATTCCATTTTGCCATCGTTGCCGTTTTTTTCTCGGTTTCTGCTTTCTGCCGTGTAGTTCAATGGTTTTGCGATTTTGCATGGACAAATTCGATCGAAAGGGGATCATTTTTCGTTCAGGTTCAAGCACATCAAGTGCACCACGCACGCCATGCGCAATGCAGTTGCCGATGAGATGGAATTTTGTTCCACTGAGACCGGATAAGCTTTCAAAGAAAAATTCCCAAGGCCCGGCGGGCAAAAATGGGAGCTCTTGCCCCGAGCGCCTTCCGTAGCCAGTCGAGGCTAACGGTTCGAACGGTTCGAAGATATGAATCCTTCGCAACTGCGAGGATATCTTGACATCTTGCCGCCTTGAGGGACCACTTGAAGAAAAGTCTAGTGCTGGGAGGGTGTCAATCAGCTCAAAGAGTGTCGATATGGCGGGAAGCAGTGTACTCTGCAAGTCCCTTGAGGCAGGAACTTGAGTGGGGGAGTCTTGTGCAAGCTGGTTGCATACGTGCCTCCGTCCACAAAGCAATGAACAAACTGCAGGGGGTCACGTGTGCAAGAGGTTGCAAAGCATGTCTAACGATATGAATGCTTTGCGTCAAAGACGCGAGCATGTTTTTGCCCTCCAGGACGCTTCAGGCGACAAGAAAGATTGCAGACCGCAGCGGTCTCCCCTTTGCAGCTGTTTGAACCAGGCCCCAACTTCATTAGAGATGAAAGCCGCCTTTCCTGACCCAAGCAGGGACACCTTTGTTTCAGCTGATCCCTTGCGTGTTTTTTCTTTATTCCCGAAAGCATGGCGACGGGTTCTTCCGCTGGGTTCACTTGAGTTGTTCTCATGAGAGTCATTACAAGGTGTCGTTGCAAGGAATCAGCATCATGAAAGTCATTGCAAGGAGTCATTGCAAGGAATGATCATCATGAAAGTCATTGCAAGGAGTCATTGCAAGGAGTCATTGCAAGGAGTCATTGCAAAGAGTCATTGCAAGGAGTCATTGCAAGGAGTCATTGCAAGGAGTCATGGCAAGGAGTCATTGCAAGGAGTCATGGCAAGGAGTCATGGCAAGGAGTCATTGCAAGGAGTCGTTGCAAGGAGTCATTGCAAGGAGTCAAGTGCAAGGAGTCATGGCAAGGAGTCATTGCAAGGAGTCATTGCAAGGAGTCATTGAAGGGGGTCATTGCAAGGAGTCATTGCAAGGAGTCATTGCAAGGAGTCATTGCAAGGAGTCCTGGCAAGGATTGCAACTTGCACTTGACTCCTTGCAATTGCAACTTGCACTTGACTCCATGCACTTGCAACTTGCACTTGACTCCATGCGCTTGCAACTTGCACTTGACTCCATGCACTTGGCTCCTTGCACTTGGCCCCTTGCACTTGCAACTTGCACTTAACTCCGTGCACTTGCGACTTGCACTTGACTCCATGGCTTGCAACTTGCAATGGCTCTCATGACTCCTTGCAATGACTCCTTGCAATGACTCCTTGCAATGACTCCTTGCAATGACTCCTTGCAATGACTCCTTGCCATGACTCCTTGCAATGACTCCTTGCAATGACTCCTTGCAATGACTCCTTGCAATGACAAAACAAGCAAGGAGTCAAGTGCAAGTTGCAAGTGCAAGGAGTCAAGTGCAATTGACTTGCGAGGAGTTAAAATCTCTTCTTAGGGCGGCGGGGTAGTGCCGACGACACTACACGAAAATCGACCCTCTGCGGGGATCGGCGTGGTCGAGGTGCAAAAACCCATGGTTTTTTGCGATTTCTGCGGTGCTCGCGCGACCCTCTGCGGGGATCGGCGTGGTCGAGGTGCAAAAACTCATGGTTTTTTGCGATTTCTAAAGTTCCCGCGCGACCCTCTGCGGGGATCGGCGTGGTCGAGGTGCAAAAACCCATGGATTTTTGCGATTTCTGACATGCTCGCGCGACCCTCTGCGGGGATCGGCGTGGTCGAGGTGCAAAAACCCATGGTTTTTTGCGATTTCTGCGGTGCTCGCGCGACCCTCTGCGGGGATCGGCGTGGTCGAGGTGCAAAAACCCATGGTTTTTTGCGATTTCTGCGGTGCCCGCGCAACCCTCTGCGGGGATCGGCGTGGTCGAGGTGCAAAAACTCGAGGTTTTTTGCGATTTTGTTGTTCGAACTGGTCCTCGGGAGTTGTCTCGTGGTTCGCGCGCCTGCTCCCGGAACCGGCGGGTCGCGGGTTCGATTCCTCCCTGGTCCGCGGGCGGGCGTCGCAAGATGCAACTTGCATTTTAAGCAACTTGCGCAGAGCAACTTGCGCAGAGCAAGTTGCACAGAGCAACTTGCGCAGACCAACTTGCACCGACCAGTTTGCGCAGAGCGCCTTGCCTAGAGCAACTTGCGCAGAGCAACCTGCGCAGAGCAACTTACGCAGAGCAACTTGCACAGAGCAACTTGCACAGAGCACCTTGCCTGGTGCTGTCTCGCGCTTGCTTCACGAATGCTTCGTGTAGGGAAAAAGATCGCATCCTGCAGCGTTGGGCCGACCTCGCTTGCGATGTTCTGCTTTCGGGCCAACCGTGGTCTAGTCTCCTTGGGTCACCCTTTACACCTTTTGGGCACTGCGTGGCTCTCACGTGACCTCCCCGACATTGCAACTGCAGACTGCGCAGGCAAGAACAGCTGGACCTTGCCATCCAAATAGTTCACTCCCTCGAAGAAAAGGAGCGGAGCCGCCCGCAGGGTCAGCATTTCGCTGTAGAGCTATCCGAAACCATGAGCTTCTCATCGGATCATACCTTTCCATACATCCGTTGATCTTTTTTTGTATGCGTTTTTCCCCCCCCCCCCCCTCTGTGTTGTCTTTTTCATCCCTTTTCTTTTCTCTGTATGGGTAATATTACGCTACGGTGTGTATTGACTGTCAAGATTTCTGCTATGCGAATCTGTAGAGTTCCAGAGTTCCTGGATCGCCCTTCTGCGCTTTGGCCGCTGCTTGGCCCCTCTCGTTTTAAGTGGCTTAGTTTAGGGTTTGGGCTGGCAAATTGCTACCAGCAGTCCCCAACTCGCCTGGCCTCAAGCTACCCGTCGATCGAACGGCGTTGCCGGGATAGATCACAATGCGTGGGGTGTTGGCACACCAATGTCAAGGTCCCGTCTTGCGGGATCGAACACATGAACATGTTGTGTCAGGTTGGGACGAATTTTGCCGTACAACCTCATATCACAGCGAACGATCACGTCATCACATTGTGCCGCCTGTCAATATCGTTGTCATGCCATGAGACATGATCACAAATCCCATCAATTCCATTTTGTTTCACAATGTCCTAGCACACCCTTTGTTCCATTTCGTTCTGTGTCATGCACGTGCTTTGCTTCGCTTTAGCTTTTGTTCATGTGCTGTAGGTACTTTTGCCCGGCACAGCGGGCAAGTCGTGACACTGTTGCGCCTGGTTTGCCGCCCTAATCCTTGCTCAGCTTTTGTGATCGCAACCAGGTCCCAGCAGTGAAGCGCGTACGACTCGGAGACGCGCAATGCGACGTTTTTCGATTCGCGGGACAGGCTGACCGTTCGCTTTTCTTCTCTCGGCTCCGGCGACATTAGGCGATGCACTGGTAGGAGGGGCTGGTAACCTGCAAAACCTGGAAGCTGTAGAACTTCACGTTGGATGCGCCTTGTTTCTTCCAACATTGAGGCAATCGCCTTGCTTAGCCGTGTCTAAAGCGCAAAGCAAGCGTCAGCCGTCGCAGAGAGCGGTCGCTCACGCCCTTTGCGAATTCCGCAATTATTGCCAAGTTGGCCAGAGTGTGAGTTTCCGCAGTCGGGGCTGCTACCCCCCGCTGCGAAAAGATTCCAAACGCCGACGACCGACGACCCGTTTCAACACAGGTGCGCGACCGAGGGTCCCAAAAAGGGGCTTTAAAAAAGAGCTTTCTTTGGGGGCTTTCTCTCTCTCTCTCTCTCTCTCTCTCTCTCTCTCTCTCTCTCTCTCTCTCTCTCTCTCTCTCTCTCTCTCTCTCTTTCTCTCTCTCTCTCTCTCTCTCTAGAGGGGATTCCCCAAACGGGTTTCGATGAAGCTGTGGGGAAAACGACCTTGTCCTGCGAAGGATCCGAGGGTGCTGCGCAGAGCCCCGGGCCCCGTGCCTGCACTATATCGACCCCTTGATTTGCTTGCAATTTGCCCCGTAGCTGCGTTTCTGCAAGGCGAGCTAAAACCCAGGGAAAAAAGGGAACCCCGACCGAACGACACCGACGACCGACCGACGACGACGACCGAACGACGACGACGGCCGAACGACGGCCGAACGACCGATCGACGGCCGAACGACCGATCGACGGCCGAACGACGACGACGACGACCGAACGACGACGACTGGGCAACCAGAGCGCACGGGTCTTCCTGGAGCGGGACGGCGGGGCGCACCAGCGCAAGCTCATCCTGATCAACGACAAGTTAGAATCCTGCTCACGGCTTCAAGCCCAGAGGGAGCTTCTGAAGGAACCTCCGCCAAGTCAGATGCCTGCTGTTCACCAAGATGCATTGAGGACGCAGGCATTTGTGCTTCAGCCGGCTGTGGGCCAACATGCGCTGGAGGCCGAGCCGAGGGCTGTGCAAGCCCGGCAGCCGGCGAGGCGTGGGAAGACGGGAGGCATTTCCGGGCTGCGCAGCGGGGGCCTCGGCTGATGGCGGGGCAGTGTCCAGCAGATGGTGAACCAGCTTCAATCGAGAAAAGCTCTGCAGGCTGCCAAGAGAGAGCTTCAATATTGGTTTTGGGTTGAACAGTGTTGGTACCAGCGCCCAGAGCGCCGTTGTGTTGCTGAGTATACGTAGTAACCCAATGAAATATCAAAGCTCTTTGTCTTTTCTTCCAACTTCCTGTAGTCACTCTTTTTCCGCGGAGATGTTGCGCGGGCCAAGAAGAGCAGGTAGGAACAGACTCAACATATATGCCATGTGTGGGGAATGTCATCCAGATTGAACCAGTGCTTCGCCTTTGATTGCTTTGCACAGGCCTCAGGTTGCAGGAGGGGGGCCACGTTTTTCTGCAATTCTGTTTCTCAGTTATTGTAAGGAAACTTTCATCATGTTTTGCTGCGGTGGGCGGGCCCTTGGACGCATGATTTCAGTTTCAATCATGAGTTGCTCACTGAGCTACTACTTGGCTCGATGCACATTTTGGCCCAAACTAAGTTTTTCAGAAGGCGAAGTCGTGCTTCGAGGCGGTGAAGATGTCAGACGTGGTGTCAGAGGAGTGCGCTCTTGACGGACGCAGCTGTCAGGATGCCACTTGATTCCAAGGGGCTGTTCCTGGGAACATCAAGCAGCCTACCTTGGAGTCAAATGCATGGCAGGAGGGACAACTGGAGGCGATTCCGGCGGAGCAGACAGAAATCCAGAGCGACTTCCTGGATGAGACAGAGTTCCTTGAGGAAAACTCGGACCTGTACGAAGGCGAGTCGTCGTTTGAAGATTTCGGTTTGTTGCCCTTGTTTTTTCCAACAGTGCTAGTCTACTGAACTACTCAATTGCGTGGAAAGCTTGACAAACTGAGCACCAGACATTGATAGAACATGAACGGGGGATGTGAGTCTCTTCCCTTTCCTTTTGTCTTCCCTTTGGATTCCAGGGAACCCGCAAGACAGCAATGGACAATTTTACGAGGGTATAGGTTTTGGGCAGGCCATTTCCTTTGCAGCTTGAGAGGAAAAAAAGTTTGGCTCCGTTTCCATTCGGTTTTTGGTGGAAGTACTGTGGATGGACAGAATCCACTTCTCACCAGTTGGGACGGATGAGGCCCCCTTGAATACTGGGATCGGCGTGGATTTGTATTCTGTAGAAGCCACCATGACTGGGATCAACCACCAAACCCAACTAGACCACGGTTGGCCCGAAAGCAGAACATCGCAAGCGAGGTCGGCCCAACGCTGCAGGATGCGTTCTTTTTCCCTACACGAAGCATTCGTGAAGCAAGCGCGAGACAGCACCAGGCAAGGTGCTCTGCGCAAACTGGTCGGTGCAAGTTGGTCTGCGCAAGTTGCTCTACGCAAGTTGCACTGTGCAAGTTGCTCTGCGCAAGTTGCTCCGCGCAAGTTGCTCCGGCAAGTTGGTCCCTGCAAGTGGCTCCCTGCAAGTTGCTCTGTGCAAATTGCGCTCCCTGCAAGTTGCTCTGTGCAAGCTGCTCTGTGCAAGTTGCTCTGTGCAAGTTGCTCTGCGTAAGTTGCTCTGCGCAAGTTGCTCTAGGCAAGGCGCTCTCCGCAAACTGGTCGGTGCAAGTTGGTCTGCGCAAGTTGCTCTGTGCAACTTGCTCTGCGCAAGTTGCTCTGCGCAAGTTGCTTTAAAATGCAAGTTGCATCTTGCGACGCCCGCCCGCGGACCAGGGAGGAATCGAACCCGCGACCCGCCGGTTCCGGGAGCAGGCGCGCGAACCACGAGACAACTCCCGACCAGTTCGAACAACAAAAGTCGCAAAAACCTCGAGTTTTTGCACCTCCACCACGCCGATTCCCGCAGAGGGCTGCGCGAGCGCCGCAGAAATCGCAAAAACCTCGAGTTTTTGCACCTCGACCACGCCGATCCCCGCAGAGGGTCGCGCGAGCAGGTTAAACATCGCAAAAAACCTCGAGTTTTTGCACCTCGACCACGCCGATCCCCGCAGAGGGTCGCGCGAGCGCCGCAGAAATCGCAAAAAACCTTGAGTTTTTGCACCTCGACCACGCCGATCCCCGCAGAGGGTCGCGCGAGCAGGTTAAACATCGCAAAAAACCTTGAGTTTT